AGGGACCTCTTGTCATAAAAAATTATTTCTTTTTGGCATTAATTATTCATTCCCACTACTGACTTATATTTTTTCTGTTGTGTTTTATAGGTTGTTGGAGATGGTGCTAGTTGACTTAATATTCAATTACGATGGTGATTGGGTTACTGAGCCTCAAGTTGTCTACACAGGAAAATTGGTGAAGACTTGGACAGGTTATGACTCCGACTCACTTTCACACATAGACATAGTCAATGAATTCACAAATGAGCTAGAATTTTTAGGGGTTCAACAACTTATAGTTGCTGCCCCATCTGGTAAATTTTATGTGATTGAGGGGGATAATGGTATTAGACATTTACAAAGGTTATTATGCAATGAATTTAATGTAGTGAACCTATATGGTGTAGATGAATGTGAGCCCCCTATTTACTCTATTCCCAATATTGAACAATATGAAGAAGAATCTAATAAAATTGTGGATGATGTTGGTACTGATTATAGCTTAAGTGATGTAGGATCTGACTCTAGTACTGATTCTGAAGGATACAAATCTCAAGAATTAGAAGCACTTAAAGCACAAAAGAAAGGGGAAATAAATGAAAAACTTAGTGACTTCAAAGAGTTATACAAAGGTATATCCTTTAAGGACATACCAGAAACTAGGAAGTGTATGAAGTTATATTCTCTGGCTAACAAGAAAAGATTGAAATTGGAGAAGAGTGACCTAGAAAGGCTTAGGTATACTTGTGATATTGTTGGTTGTCCCTTTGTGTGCTTAATATCAAAAGAAAAGTTTGGTGGGGTTAAAATCAAGACTTTATTTTCTGAACATGATTGTGGCACTGCATTTGATAACAAGACTGTTGATTTTAGTACCATTGCATAATATTTCAAGAAGAAGTTACAGGATAATCCTAAGTACAAGGTTAGGGAGATGATGTTAGATTTGAAGAGAAACTTTGAGCTAACTGTTAGTCATGGGAAGTGCAAGAGGGCAAAGAGGATGGTATTGGAGTCACTAGATGGTAGTTTTTCAGATGAGTACAATAAACTAGAAGCTTATGCCAATGAATTGAGGGAAAGTAACCCTGGTAGTGATGTGGTTGTTACACTTTCAAAGAGTGCACTTGAAGAAGGAAGAAGAAGGTTCTTGAGAATGTATGTGTGTTTTCATGCTTTGAAGATGTGTTTCAATCTAGGATTGAGACCTTTTATTGGTTTGGATGGTACCTTTTTGAAGGGCAAAGCCAAAGGCCAACTGTTAGTGGCAGTTGGACAGGATTCACAGAATTATTTTTACCCTTTGGCATGGGTAGTTATTGATAAGGAGAACAAAAATACTTGAAATTGGTTCCTACAGCTGCTGCAATCTTCTTTGGACCTCAAGGAAGGGGAAGGAGTCACCTGCATGTCAGATATGCAAAAGGTGAAGTTTTCTGAAATTTCTAATATGTTATTCAATATTCTAATTACTTTTTACTTGATAATCAATTCTGAACATCTTTATTTGTTCTGCAGGGACTGCTTGATGCAGTCAAAACAGTCCTTCCCCAGGCACATCACAGGTACTGTGTTAGACATATTGAGTCTAACTGGTGCAAACAGTTCAACACTGGGAAAAACAAGAAGCTTTTATGATGGTGTGAATGGTGCACATATGCAGAAGATTTCAAGGATCAGCTAGGAAAATTAGGTGACTTGAACAAAGATGCTGCAGAGGCTTTGTTGAGGTACCCACCCCAGTCTTGGTGTAGAGCATATATGGACACTGTATGCAAGAATCAGTCGGTTGATAATAACTTGACTGAATCATTCAACAAGTGAATTGTGGATGCAAGGCATAAGCCTATAATCAAGATGCTAGAGGACATCAGAATCAAGACCATGAACTTGTTAAGAGAACATGAAGAAGAAGTTAGGAGCTGGAGATATGATTTCAGTCCAAAATGCATGGACTTATATAATGAGTACCTGCAGATTGCACAAACTGCCTGT